AAGCAAAATTTGTGGGGAATAATAGGCATTTTATATACTTTTTAGGCATAAGCAATTACGAAATAACACTTAGGGGCCGTCCATAAATGACGCACCTAGGGGGGGGGAGGGTCAGACATTTGTGACGATGTGTGACGGGGGGGGGGTTGAGAAATGTGACTTCACATCAAAATGCGCAACTTTAAATAAATATAGACAACGCGTTCGAATTAATTAAATAGACTTTTTAATAAATGTTTTCTCTTACAACATCAAAGTGCAGCGCCACATTAAATACGCACTACAATGACAATAGTTTAAAGCGATTTGAAGCATGTTCTTTTTTTTGGGGGGGCAGAATTTTGCGACGTCATATTTGAGGGAGGGTCTGACTTTTATGGACGGCCCCGTACCACCCAGGAAAGTTTTTGTTACAAAGTGTTATTGGTTAACAATCCTTTCAAAGTTCTCTGCTTAAAATATTGCATTGTCATATTTTACTCTGCAATTGTTATTAACTGTGCATTTTGTACTTTCTGACACACCTTGGCTTCCATCTTAATGAAAATAGAAAGCAGCCCAAGGGTGCAGTTAACATAAGTAGAGCGAAAACTTAAATGACGAGTCTAGACTTTTTATCGGGTGCATTTCATCAGTTTTAATTATCCAAAGGGCAGTGAAGGTTATGGCTTTGTCACACATAGATTTACCGTACCTGGAGACTGCAATACATTGGACCAGTTTGAGAGTGAACATTTAGCTGCTGTTGAGATTAAAGTACTACCTGAAGCCACATATATTATTAAGCTCAAGTGAATGAATATGCTGTATTTTGTGTTATATTATGTGTCTACTTATGCATCAATTAATATACTGTATTTTTTATGCATTCAATATTTTTTTCTCTTAAAATATCATACCATATACCCCGGACACCCTTGCAAACAATATCATCCATCTCCAAGGGATTTTCCATGTAAAATCATTTTTTGCAAATATGATTCTTAAAATATAAGTTAATGTTCCAAGATTTCTGCTTACAAAATTAAAGTGATCTAAAGACACTCCCTTATTACTTTAAGTTACTTACGTGCCATTCCCTCATAACTTTAATGAGATTTTTAACTAATTCTACTTAGTAGTTTGCAATTCTGCAAAGCCATACCCATTTTCCAGTGAATACATTATTTGCTATACAGTATACTTCGAACATACCATGGCGGGGTTATGATTTTTGGATTTAAAAATGCATTTTTTGCATATTGCCTTTGCTTATAATATAATCGTCAGCATTATTAGCATTGATCTATCCACTGTTGGATAAAGCCCTTTCCAAGGTGTTGTCATCTCTCACAGTCTTGCGAAGTAACAATCCACCTACAACCGACCCATGAGCTAATTTCATTGCTCCATCTCCTTGGCGGGCATCCTCTGGAAAACACAGCAGAATATCAGTTTAAAAGGTTTAAAAGCTTTCACGACCAATATTATCCATAATACAAGTTTTTTTGGGTTAGATCACGTAAATATAAATGTGTCGTTAAACCCGCCACCACCCGACACAGGCAAATGGTAAGGTTTTTCCACGTAAAGAGAACATTCAAATGCGTTACTAGCTGTGTTGGAGAGTGAATCCACAGCATTTACAATCTGAGTACGACGTTTCGCCAGTAATTACAACTAGCATCATCAGGCGACAGCCTGATTTGTGGAGAAATCCTCCTGTTTTGATCTTAAATAGAGGCATTCATTAACCCCCCCCCCGCCCCGGTCTTCACACGTGAGGGGCTCACAAGTGACGACATCACATTTATCCCTCTATTCATCCACAAATCTGGCTGTCGCCTGATGATGCTAGTTACAATTACTATTTGTAACATCAAGTGGAAGATAATTCTCTTCAGCAATCTCACGTCATCTTTAATCAACTTCAGACATCCGTTACTTGGAAAAATGAGACAAAGCTAAAGGTACAGGGATACATTAACTAAGAAATAAATAGTGGTCCGTGTTCAGCATCTGCCAAGGGCATAAAAAAGGACAATTGCATTTTATGAGCAACATGACAGCCGTGGAAAACCTACTTATATCGGCTCACTGCTGTGATAAATGTTAAACATGCCATTTCATAGCAGGGCTTGATGTTTAAATAAAAATTGTCTAATTTTATTAACATGCAAAACAAAGACGTTGTTTGAATAGTTTGCAAAATATATATAAAAAAACAATGGAATTGTGAGACAGAGCCATTGTGTATGAACTTTGTGTTCTCCTGAAGAGTAAATTAGATGGAAATTATTGCAATGTAAAAAAACAGCTGCCCGGATATGATAAAAGTACTCTGTGATTCATTTCATGTGCTGTTACAAGAAATCCTTATGAGCATTTTTACCATTTAAAATTTTCTCATAAAATTAAAGAAAGATGTGGTGATTTTTTTCAAAGTATATATTATCATTATATTCCACCCCACATGTACATTTCGAAAATTACTATTTAAAAATATTATACTGAAAGCTGGGTAAATTTATTAATGTAATTATTCATTCTCAAAGTAACTTTTTGTTCTCTATCACGCAGATATTTAACAGAATAAATAAATAAAAATTGACTTTTGAACGTTAACAATGCCGCACAGTGCATATTCGCAATATTTACAACTAATAGTGGCACATGTTTTCATATAATGTCACCTGTTGACAAAGACTGCCCGAGTTCTTCACAGTGATTACGCAATTGTGCTTAGGCAAGCAAGGGGTTAAACACGAGTGCAATATTTAATGCAGACATACCCTGTTTAAACAGAAATTAACTGCCCCACCCCTGCGGTCCTTTTAAATTTATATCTCATCTAAAGCAATCACCAGTCTCGTAAATGAAGAAAAATGGTTGCGTGGGGCGGTTGGAGCCTCTGTGATATTGCATTTACAGGCAACTATATACACACATACTGTAATTAACATGTGTTTCCTTAGTAAGGTAAATACCTCAACTTGCATAAAGATGAGCAAAATGTGTATGACTTACGTTATTCACCTATTCTACATTTCTATAATGTAACCTTGTCATAGCGCAGAGGTCAAACACAAACTGTACCATTGTGTGCATTCGGTTTGCAATCCTGCTCACCCTTTGTGTCTTTAAAGCACCCTGTCAATGCAATTTGTCAGTTTTCTATACACACCTATTCCATCTTCTATTAATGTACGTTGTACGGATTAAAATGTAATACCTATTTAAATGCTTTACATTTGAAATGGTTATATTTTTGGATAGAATAAAATGTCTTTCATCTATGTGCTATTTTCAATTTAATAGGATTTTCACCTAGATTTGTGGTTCCCTTTTTACGTGGTAAGGCTTTAATAAAATTTCTATTTTTTCAGTAGCTGAGGAATTAATGCAATGTATTTCAAAGAGTTACAAACCTTAAAGTTGCCTCTGTTACCTTGGAAAAGTGCCATATTCACCCACGCTGAGATAACTGAGACAATGCTCTTGAAGCATGCAGTCCTTAAAACTAAAACAGAGCTTACATTTAACAAACCCTGCATGCAGACATCGCTTTTTTGTGACATGTATTTTTGCATCAAATAAATGACAAGAGTTTTGTTTTTTATCTGATGGTATCGATTTTATCAAACATTGATTCGCATGAAATCTTGACTTAAAGCTTTCGTGACTGCAGGAATTCATTTTCTTGGGTCTTTCGGTAAAGTCACGTAGATAGGATCAAATAATATAACAAAAATTACAAAAAACTACGACGTTTCGATCGCAACACAAGCGGTCGTCTTCAGGAAAAGGGGGGTTTGCTTCCAAGGCAAACTGTTTATAAGGGTTTGAAATGGGTGTAGCCCAAATGTCAGCAGCCAATGAAAATGTAAGTGTTCGGCAGCCAACCCGACGGTGGTTGGTTTTCCACCAACTATTAACATGCTAAAGAGAGATTAGCATGTTAATGGAAGATCGCAAGCTGCAACCAAGTTTGTAGGTGGGTGAGTCAATGGTGGAGACTCACCCACCTACAAACTGGCCCGATTTCTGTCTGAGACCTTACAACCATTCACTGGTAAGACCACTTCAGCTGTACTCATCTCAGCTCATTTGGTATCATTAATTAAGGACATCTCACTATCTCCAGGTGATTTGCTCACATCTGTGAAGGACGTGATCCCTGACATGCAATACCCCGGCGTCGACAAACTAAGCTCTGTCTGCGGCAGTAGTTACATTGGGGAAACTAAGCGACATGTCTCGGACCGTGTTCGTGAACATAAGGTAGATCTGAAACACGGTAGGACCAATACCTTGGTCCTGGCTGATCATTGTTTTAATGCGGTGTGCTCACACGATATTGATTTCTTTAAGACGAAGGTACTTTGCAACCCCACTGGCTATCAACAAAGATTCGTTCATGAAGCCATCCATATATATAGACACAGACACAATTTCAACTGAGAAGATGGGTACAAACGGAGCAATCATTGGAAAGACGTTATCAACCAGTTTAAGTCATAATTGGCTATGATGTTCCCATCCTACCACCTTCCGATGTTAGTTGTGCTTTATGCCCATTTCAAACTTGCTCTGTCACAGTCACTTCGCACGACGACTCCTTGGTTGTGGGTCTGCGATATTCCATTAACATGCTAATCTCTCTTTAACATGCAAATTTTCACCTGGCAGCCCTTTGATTGGTGGAAAACCAACCACCGTCCAGTTGGCTGCCGAACAGTTACATTATCATTGGCTGCTGATATTTGGGCTATGCCCATTTTAACCCCTTATAAACAGCTTGCCTTGGAAGCAAACCCCCCTTTTCCTGAAGACGACTGCTTGTGTTGCGATCGAAACATCGTAGCTTTTTTGTTAGTTTTAGTTATTTTCTTTGAACCTATCTACGTGACTTTACCGAAAGACCCAAGAATATTGATTCGCATGCTTAAATTTTTCTCCGTAACGTTGCGCCCGAGGCTGTCTGTAGTGCAGGGAATTGTGTTGTGATTGTGCCCTCGCAGGTGTTCCCAGGCAACAAGAACTCTGACAAGGTCGTGCGCCACGACCTGCAGAACTCCATCGTCACGCGATTCCTGCGCTTCATGCCGATTGAGTGGAATCCCGAGGGCCACATTGGACTTCGCGTCGAGTTGTACGGCTGTCCTTACAGTGAGCGTTTAATGATCGATTCTACAAGAGGGACAGGATTCCACTGAATGCCTCTCACTGTGATGTGCTCTATCTTGATGCTGTCTGGTTTTTGACAATGGACATTTTAAATTGATTAGTACAACTTGGCGAAAATGAACAGCTGATGAATATGTGTCAGCTTAAGAATGCATGCTTTTAACTTTGACCTTTTTGGTGTATGCTCTACCGGTGATAATAATATTCCAGCAGTCGCCCTTAGAAAATACGTGAATAATTTTGGCTGAAAAACGAATGACAAGATTATTGAAAATATTGAAATGCAAAATAGGCGGCTCCAAGTTATGATAAGTATGACTTGAAAATTTGCCTTGAGGAAACCAAGGGTTTATGGATTCCTGGCCATAGTTAACCAAGCAAACCTTGCACCCCTGGGATTGTATGTGGAGCAAACACAAAAGCACCTTTGTTGAACTTGTTTAAAAAAAAAATCCTTGTAATGTCAATTACATGCAATATTTATCATAATTTTTAAAAGGGCCTTATCAATACGGCTGTACAGTGAGGGAATAAAGTATTTGACCCCCTGATGATTTTGTACGTTTGCCCACTGACAAAGAAATGATCAGTCTATAATTTTAATGGTAGGTTTATTTGAACAGTGAGAGACAGAATAACAACAAAATCCAGAAAAATGCATGTCAAAAATGTTATAAATTGATTTTGCATTTTAATGAGGGAAATAAGTATTTGACCCCTCTGCAAAACATGACTTAGTACTTGGTGGAAAAACCCTTGTTGGAAATCACAGAGGTCAGACGTTTCTTGTAGTTGGCGACCAGGTTTGCACGCATCTCATGAGGGATTTTGTCCCACTCCTCTTTGCAGATCTTCTCCAAGTCATTAAGGTTTCGAGGTTGACGTTTGTCAACTCGAACCTTCAGCTCCCTCCACAGATTTTCTATGAGATTAAGGTCTGGAGCTGCTAGGCCACTCCAGGACCTTAATGTGCTTCTTTTTGAGCCACTCCTCTGTTGCCTTTGCCGTGTGTTTTGGGTCATTGTCATGCTGGAATACCCATCCACGACCCATTTTCAATGCCCTGGCTGAGGGAAGGAGGTTTTCACCCAAGATTTGGCGGTACATGGGCCCCGTCCATCATCCCTTTTATGCGGTGAAGTTGTCCTGTCCCCTTAGCAGAAAAACACCCCCAAAGCATAATGTTTCCACCTCCATGTTTGACGGTGGGGATGGTGTTTTTGGGTCATAGGCAGCATTCCTCCTCCTCCAAACACGGCGAGTTGAGTTGATGCCAAAGAGCTCCATTTTGGTCTCATCTGACCACAACACTTTCACCCAGTTGTCCTCTGAATCATTCAGATGTTCATTGGCAAATTTCAGACGGGCATGTATATGTGCTTTCTTGAGCAGGGGGAACTTGTGGGCGCTGCAGGATTTCAGCCCTTCACGGCGTAGTGTGTTACCAATTGTTTTCTTGGTGACTATGGTCCCAGCTGCCTTGAGATCATTGACAAGATCCTCCCGTGTAGTTCTGGGCTGATTCCTCACCGTTCTCATGATCATTGCAACTACACAAGGTGAGATCTTGTATGGAGCCCCAGGCCGAGGGAGATTGACAGTTCTTTTGTGTTTCTTCCATTTGCGAATAATCGCACCAACTGTTGTCACCTTCTCACCAAGCAGCTTGGCAAAAACTCTCCCCTCTCTCCCCGTGAACTCCTGCAGCCACGGACTCTACAACCCCCCCCCCTCCCGTGCCTACATAAAGCCACAACAGCAGGTCATTCTTTCTCACCTGATGACGGACGCTTGTGTTGCGACCGAAACGTCGTGTTCTTTCATTATTTTTTCTATCTACATGACTTTACCGAAAGACCTAAAGAGTATGGATTCCTGCAGTCACGAAAGCTTCCAATCAACATACAAATGTGTTTTTCTCTGTGTGACATGATTGATGCAATGTTCATGTTTGTGTATGCATATATTTGACTGATTTACAGTGTTCATAATTCTGAGGTGAAAAGTGTTCTCATTTGAAGTTTCCATATATTGGAAATTTCGACTAAGCGAGGATGAGACACGATCTCCAAGATGCATGCTTCCCTTTGCCCCTTCGCCATACAAATATGCAAAACTACGTTTTTATTGTTATGGAAATTACCTTTGACTATCGTCATGAAAAAAATCTCTGACGTCCATTTGCTAAATTGTTTTGTCCATTTATCTTTCTCTGGGCACAACATTTTTTGAGATACTCAAAATGCAGCTGAGTGCCTGCAAATATATATTTTTAATCTGGTATTTCCGTGCTAGATGTGAACTAATTTTTCTTCCCATAAACTGGCTCCATCGTTTGAGCTATGGTTGCAGGTCCAGTAAACCTGTTGATACATCCAGGAAAAATGACAAGGCTATACTTGGTGTGTAAACACTTCAGCATGTATAACTTGTGCTTAGGCAGCAAATAGCTCCTAACATAACAGCATTGATAGGTTATAGTAAAAGGTCAAATGTTTACCCTCAAATATATTTTCAAAGTTTACCCCCCTCTATTAGGGAATATAATTTCTCACACTTGCCATCAGTGACAGGAGAAAAATGTAAGGAATTTCAAATAATTGACTCCATTGTGATTTAACCATTCTGTCAATTTGAGATAAATTAACTATACTCTTTAGTTCTTTCGGTAAAGTCACGTAGGTAGAAAAATAAAATAAAACAAAGAATAAAATATCACGACGTTTCGATCACAACACAAGCGGTTGTCCTCAGGCAGAAAAAATAATCCAGCAGTGGAACTGCTGAACCAGCGAGAGAGCTGTTACAACAAGGTTATATATGTGGTGATGGGCAAGCAAGTGAGGTCTGAGCTGGAAAGGAATTCCATCCCCAGACACAAGCACGTCAGTTGTGTTAATGGGGGAGATTAGGGAGAGAGATAATCGGGGGAGAGATTAGCATGAAATGAGCTTCCGTCGCCGCATAAGAGTATCATCCCTGCATATGCGCACAACAGCAGTGATAATGGGAGATTATCACTATGTTGATGGGAGAGATTAGGCAGGGAGATTAGGGGGATTGGTAAGTTAATGTCATGTCTATGTGTAACACAAGCTGCAGTGCTGCCAACTGCGCTTTGAGGCAAGCACGTCCACGCAAGAGAACCACCACAACGGTGGTCACATCAGTGAGACACAATGCCCATCACACAGCCAGAACCATCGAACAACGAGGCTAAGGGAGCAGAGGTGGCCATGTTAGTGAGACCCCAGCCCGTTAATGCAGAGGCACCTAACAGGACAATGCAACTCAGAGAGTCGGAGGTAACAGCCAAACGGCAGGGAAGAATGGAAGCACCACACAAGTTACGACTTTGTTTTGTCAATAACGTCCTTCCAATGATTGCTCAGCGTATACCCATCTTCTCGGTTGAAATTGTCTCTGTGTTTATATATCTGGGTAGCTTCAAGAACAAATCTTTGATGGTAGCCCGAAGGTTTGCTAGCCGAATGCGTTATAACAATGATCAGCAACTGCAGAGGTACTGCTGAGGCGACCGGCTTGTCCTTGAATATTACTTCATAGAGGCCTGTATTATGGGGACGATGGGTTTTTTTAACATGAGCTACATCATTTAGTTTTTTGTTAATTAAAAACAATTTTCATCCACATTTGTTTCAATGCAAAACTATTAAAATATTTTCCATCATACACCATTTCTTGAGATTCAGTTTCATGTAAAATGTATTCATTCAAAATATATTCATGTTGTAAAACGTTCTTAAAAAAAAGTTATCACTTCTTCATAAAACAGTGCAAGAAGCCGGAAAGTTATATTCCTACAGGAAACCAAGGGTAAATGAAAGCAGGGAAGTACTCCCAAATAATGAGTCACCAAGGAATTGTTTTTGTCCACGTTCCCACACAGATATAAACACACAATATCATACAAGGGCAAACAAGCCACACAATTTCAAGGTTCCGTTTTTTTTATCACAGTTGCTGGGCAAACGTTCAAAACTCACAAGAAGCCAGCAACAAACAGCACTGTTCAAAGTGCAATACAAGCAAGTTAATGTGGTTCTTGAATTGAGCAAGGATATAAGTAATTGGGGGGAACTATATCATGGGAGGGAATTTCAAAATCGAGCAGGGTGAGGAAAGAAGCAGAAGGTGGATGTGTTTTGACCTGCAGTAAGTACAGTGGCTGAACACTGTATGGATCAAAATAAAACAGTCTGCCAGGAAGACCCTCTGTGCGTTCGTGTGGCGTCTCGACAGGGTCGTCGGTGGCTTACTTTGACGGACGGAGCCTGCTGGCGTACCGCTTCGAGCACAAGGTGCGGCGGACGCGCAAGGATGTGGTGTCGCTGCGGATGCGCACGAAGCGCAGCGATGGCGTGCTGCTGCACGGGGAGGGCCAGCGGGGAGGTGGCCTCACCCTCCAGATCCACAGGGGACGGCTGAACCTGCACCTGCGTTTCGGTAAATCGCTCGCGGTGCTTGCATCGCCACCGGGGCGGCGCGGAGCCTTCGGGCGATGTTGCAAACAAACAAAGCACTCGCAACGATTTCCAACGAACGGATGGTTGCAGGGCAGAGTCAATTTGGCCGTAAAATGTATTTGATCTTCTGGTGAACTCTGCAGCGTTTGGGAAATAAAATGCTGACAGTCTTTTCATGGCCCCACGCGCTCGTCTGTGTTTTGTTTTCCCCTCTGGCTAAGGGCGAGACCTCATTGGAATGGAAGGAGATGCGGGCGAGGGCATGGGTTACATCACAGTGAGCGCTGGCAGCCTCCTTGATGATCAGCACTGGCACGATGTGACCATCACGAGAAGCGGTCGTCACGGAAACCTGACGGTGGACCGCCACATGCAGCGCTTTCAGGTCATGGGAGACTACGAATCTCTCGACCTTGATTATCAGGTAGCATCACGCTGTTTAAAACGCATTGACCCTGTCAGGCGTTGTACAGTGCGATTCATACAGCCTTTCACTTTTTCTCACAATATAGGTCAGTTGCTGCCAGTTTAGAAACGCAATTATGTGTTCTTAAGCAGAAGGATCTATTATTCGAAGAGCAATTCACGATTATTTATTTAAGACGATATGTTTCGAAGAAATATTGCCTCGGGAATATAGGTGCTTAGAAATGTTGGTGACTTTAATTAAATGGTTTTAATTTATAAGTGTACTTTGTTACACTTAACCAAAGCTATACAAAACTGCTAAGTGAACACAAAGTAGCATCTTAATTACTCGAGGAACCTGCTATTGTCTTGGAACTAGCTCTAACAATATCAACAAAGGCACAGCCGGATTATTCAATATCCCCCCTACCACCCAGTAAACACTATTTTACTTTCTGCCCTTCCCACAATTACCCTTGCAGCTCTATTGTACCCTATTAAACTTGCTTTAATTTGTCCCTCAATGCCTGCCCAATGTGTTTTTTAAGTTGTAAATGTGGACACATTTTTTTCCCCATGGAAAATCCCTAATTATTTTCTCCCTCCTGCCGTTGTTAGACATCGTCTAGCCAACAGGAGGATGCCATCAGTCACGAGCTACAGTTCATGAAGTCATTTGCATGTTTCCCTGTGTGTAACTGCTTTATGTGGAACCATGGGTTGAGCAGAATGGCAGTAAATGTCTCTATCTCACGCTGGGGCCATGTGCATCCTTAGATTTAGAACGAGGTGAATTCCATTTGGTCATCACAGCAAAAAAGGTCCATTCTCCATGGATCAATGGATTGCCTGCTCTGTCACCTCCACCACATCATGTCACTTTTGCTTTAGCTTTTTTAGATGTGAGCTGAGGCTGAGTGTGGCCTCATCTTAATGCTTTTTCTAAAGTGTGCTATTATATAACAGATTATCCGTAATACAGGTTTTTTTGGGTTAGATCGCGTAAATATATAAATGTTTGGTAAAGTCCGCCACCACCCAACACAGCCAATTAGTAAGGGTTGTCACGTAAACAGAACGTGGCCAATTCCTCACTTCTACAGCACACCGTTGTGTTGGAGAGCCAAGCCACAACATTTACAATCTGAGTACAACGTTTCACCAGTAATTACAACTAGCTTCATCAGGCGACAGTCAGATTTGTGGAGAAGTCTTACTGTTTCGTTCCTTATATAGAGGCGTAGATGTGATGACAATACTTGTGTGCTCTTCTTGCGCAAAGTGGGGGGGGGGGGATTAATGAATAAACCTACATTATGCATGTGCATTATGCGAGCCCATTTATCTTGTACTTCCTGTCCATGGTGTACTAAAATATTTGATGATTCGCTTCCAAGCAGCACTAAGTCGGTAGCTATAAGAATGGTTAAAATGGTTTTTATTTCTTTCAATTTCGATAGATTATCTAATTAGTCTTGGCCAGTAGTAACTTCTTTTGCATAGAACTTCAACATTATCAAAATTAATTGAGTGTCCTTGTTGGCATGCGTATTCTGCTATAGCTGACAGTTGTATTTGGGAGTATTTAATATTTATTTGGTGGTCTTTTAGTCTCGTGCTGATCATTCGTCCTGTTTGTCCAACACAGCATTTGTCACAAGTGCAATTAATCCGGTACACACCTTCTGTTGATAGCTTCCTTTGTACCAGATATAAATTTCTGTATTTTATGTGCCGTGCCAAATCTGACTTGGATGTTTTGTTTTTCCAAACATTTGGATAGTTTATCAGTTACTCCCGCAATGTCCAATATTTTAATAGTTTTAATTACTAGAGCAGTTTCAATGTTCGTGTTACTTGATTTGGTTTTGGCATTCAATGCCCTGTTGATTTGTGCATCATTGTAACCGTTCATTTGCACCGCTTTTTTAACATGTTTAATTTCACTTCTCAGACTATCACCATCTGACGCTTTCTTAGCCCGATGAATGAGTGTCTTGATGAGAGCGGATTTCTGTGCGGCGTGATCGTGTGACTGCATTCAGATAGGCGTCAGTGTGCGTTTACTTTCGGTAAACGCTGTGTTATTTCATCATTTCGACCCAGTCCGAGCAGAATATCCAGAAATGAGAGAGTTCTGTCAGCTTCCACTTCCATGGTGAACTGGATGGATGGGTTTTGCGAGTTGAGATGATTTAGAAGTTAGTTAAGTGTATCGTTTCCGTGTGGCGAGACCACCAATGTGTCATCCACATATCTAAACCAAGCAGAGGGTTTGTGTGCTTGAAGCTATTGCTTTTGTTTCAAAATCTTCCATGTACAAATTCGCTATCACAAGAGACAAAGAAGAGCCCATAATGGCTTATGTACTTTCAATTGCAAATGTTATATTGAAGCTTAGTTTTTTATTGCATGTCTTCCAATTTACACATTTAAAAAAAGCTGTAACAATGAATAATACTACGTAACACAATTTTTGTTCCTGGGTAGTAGGTGTTATTTCATAATAGCTTATGCCTCAAAAGTACAGAAGATGGCTATTATTCCCCACAAACTTTGCTTTTGAGACATGAGCAATTAGGAAATAACACTTACTACCCAGGAACAAAAAATTATTTGGTAGTGTCATTAATATAATAGATGTACCACACTTCTAATCAACTGTTGATTTGGCTGGGCATGCCTGTGGAGTTATTCAGTTGTAATTAAATGTCTGCAAGTTATTCCCACAGTGATAATGAAGGAAAATTAAACTGGAGATTTCACAAGGAAGAAATACATTGGGAGCTTTTCAAGAGTTGTTTGTTATCAGAGATTATTGTAGCAATCACACCATCATTTGGAGTTTATTGAAAGCATATGGCTAAGGTGAGGCATACATATGGAGTGTCCTCCTTCCTCCCAGCGTGTGTGTGCATGTGGTGTACGGCGCACACACTCAGTCGGAGATGAAGTAGTTGCAGGAGGCACCGTCTCTCTTTTTATTCTCCGTTCACACCAACTCCGGCCTCCTCTCTCTCTCGACCATGCTGCCGTATCGCCCGGCCTCGACACAATTCTGTCCGCGTTGCACCGACGGCATCGACCGAGACAGCCAACTACCGCCCGGCCATGCAGTGATCGGGCGAAGGCTGCAGCGACATCGAGCTAAAACAGTGTCAGATGGTGAAAGTCTAAGGAGAGAGATTAAACATGTTAAAGAAGCACTAAGACTGAATGGCTACAATAATGCTCAAATGAATAGCTCATTGAATGCCAAACCAAGATCGAACAGCAATATTGCAAATTAGCTCGTGTTTTGCAAAAGCAAAACATTAAAGTAAGATTTGATACGGTACACAAAATAAATAAATAAATGTGCCTTGTACTAAAAATTAATTACCTAAGTTATCAACAGAAGGTGTGTATCGGATTAATTGCTTATGCGGTAAATGCTATATTGGACAGATGGGACGTAACATTAGCGTAAGACTAAAATAACACCAAAGAAATATTAAATACTCTGAAACACAACTATCGGCAGTTGCAGAACATGCTTGCCAACAAGGACACCAAATTGATTTTGATAACGTTGAAGTGTTATGTAAAACTAATTATTACTGGCCAAGACGAATTAGAGAATCCATTGAAATTGAGAGAAATACAAATAATTTTAACCGCTCTGACAGCGACAGGCTTAGTGCGGCCTGGAAGCGTGTTATTAAGTAATACATATTACAATTACAATTCCTCATAGGGGAAACATACTAATTAATTGATTACTAATCTAGTATATAATTACAATACCTCACCCCCACCTCCCCTGCCTCTGATCTCTGCACCTGATTGGGTTCAGTGATGACGTTGTCCTGCTCTATTTAAGACCGGAAGCAGGTGGATGGCGTCACTATTCTGGCAAATCGCCCGATGATGCTGGATGTAATTACCAGCGAAACGGCTTGCTCAGATTGTAAATGGTGTGGATTCGCTCTTCAACACACCGGTGGGCTGAAGTAGTAACTATTTGGTGTTTTTTGTTTACGTGACGAATCCCTTACTATTTTTATTTGTTCTTCACCTGAGGACGGCTGCTTGCTTTGTGGCTGAAACGTCGTGAGAATTTTATTATGTTTTATTTCTATTATTTTATTATTTCCCTTCTACGTGACTTTACCGAAAGAACCAAGAATATGAATCCCTGCAGTCACGAAAGCTTTAAATAGAAATTTAAATCCCTTACTGATTGGCCATGTCGGGTGGTGGAGGGTTTCAACGCATTTATACTTACGCGATCTAACCAAAAAACCTTTATTATGAATATTGGTCGCGAAAGCCTACGTGTTAAACCGATTAGTTGATTCTAACACTCGTGATGCATGAAATAATTAATGTAGGTGAAAATATACAGCTTTCATCTTGTGTACATTTTTATTAAAAAATATTCCTCCGGGTCATCTGTTGAAGCAAACTAGACCGAACAAACAAGGCAGCAATGGCGAGGCACAAATGAGGAAAATGTAAATACGGCATTTCATAATTTCCAACGGCACTCTCACATTTTTTGTAATGTTCATTTTTTCGACAGATTATATGGTCCAGAACCCATGTTCACCACACGTATATGTGGTTAATGCATGATTTCTTGCAAAAGGTTTCAGTTTGGTGTTTTAATATCTTAACACCTGTTTTATTACCAGAAAGGGTTAAACCTATTATATTTTTATACCGGCAAGCCTGATATGTTCAACACATCAAATCGTTGTTTAAATATTCACAGCATTGAAGTGATGCCTGGGAATTTCAATGCGAGGGCATGGAGCCATTGTGCAGAAGGCATGTAGTGTACATTTTAAACATTCCATCGCAAAAGTTAAATATGTTTTGGATAATTGTGGCACATTAGGAATGGACTACTCTTTTAATAAGTCCTTTTGTCCTGTGCAGTACATCAATGCACGTGTGTACACCAGCATGTGATGACTGAGTTGGGCCTGTGGGGGGCTGGGAGGGTTCATGATTAACCGGACGTGTACACCAGTCACGTGGTTAATGGCGACTCGGTGAAAATTGCTGTGTGTGACACACGTGCTGTTGCATTCTAAAGGTCAAGGACCCAAAGGTTATTTTTGATCGTGATAGAAATGTTCTAGACTTGTTCTAGACTTCAAGCTTGGCTTTGAATTGTTAGTTTGTAATATATTCAATTGGAGGGGTTTTAGCCATTGTAAAGGATGATGTGTAGTTAATACTTGTAATTCTTAATTCTCTAACCCTAATACTGTTTATTCTATAACCATGCCCATGCACCCAGAGTATGACTACTTGCAATGCTATTGAGAATAGAACACATGTAAAGTAGTAAGTTGTACAATGGTGACAAATACAGTACGTATACTGTTCATATATAGTACAGATAATGGGTGTAAGATACCGATATAAGTGGATGGTATAGATAGACATACAGCTTAGGATTAAAGTAATATTCGAATAGTGAGGTGTAAATGTTATTGTCAAAGACAAAGATGGTTTATCAGTAGTAGAAGTGGGTTAAAGAGAAAACTGTAAATGATTAACCAGACGTGTACACCAGTCACGTGGTTAATGGCGACTCGGTGAAAATTGCCGTGTGACACCACGTGCTGTTGCATTCTACAGATTAACCACAAATGTGTTTGCCCTCGATTTGGAGCACCTGTCCAATGTCCTTCGTTTGGAGTGTGCAACATAATGATATTTTACATATCGTATTATTTTAACAAATACGATTTGGTGTTAATCAGTTGAAAGACAATTTTGCACACTTGTGATATAGTAATTTCATTTCAATGTATTTTCTATCCAAAGCAATTATCACTTCATAAGATCTCTTCACAGATGAAAAAATACACTTGCTTTATAAGTAACTATTTTCAAGAAGAAACAGGATCATGTAACATTCAAATTTAAATTCACGTAATTAATTCCCTTAGTGTCTTAGTAAAGGTTCTCGACGTCCCGTTATTTCCTAACACAGATGCAACATGGAGATTTTGGTTCTCCCAATGCAGTATGTGTGTGTGCATGTATTCAGAATTCCTATCGCATGCTCCCCATTCCCTGGGATTATTTAAAGGAGTGCTGTGTTTGTGAAATAACTTGTCTTCTGTAGATGGTGTGGACCCTACAATTTAGCCTGGACAAGTGCTTACCCTGAATTAGCTTACGTCATGCATTTCCCCTCCAAAAATATTGAAAATATATGGACAACAAGCTGCTAATTACCAACCAGTAGAGCTGCTTCTTATTTCGCATTAGCGCGACTCAGCTTGTAGCGTACCATGACGTGTAGACTACCTAGACACGCACATACAGCTGCAGCGATTTGTTGTTCGTACAAATCACGTGTGAGCGACAGTCACTTCTTAAAAGTTTCGTGTACTCCCAAGGTGGCTGAAAGTCACTTATACTCAAGCAAAATTGCAAACTTCAAATTACTCAAGGTAGGAAGGCTCTTGTTCTCTTATTCTGAAGGAATAATCTGTCATTGATGCAGATGCTCGTGTCATGATTAACTTCAATATTTAAGGCAGTTTCTGCGCAATTAATATTATTTTTTTCACCTGTGTCGACAGCCATTATATTTAATGTAAATTGATGTTATTTTTTATATGTATTTTGTGTTTGCCAAATAGGTTAGGATCTGGCTATGCCAATTTAATATCCAGCTGGGTGGCACTATTATTAGAATGTTTCACTCGCAATTATAATCATGCAAGTTGAATTCATCATTGAATGTCAACTCAGCATTTTTTTGAGAATGATTCAACGGTTACCACTTTGTGGGATGTACATGGTGGCTGTCTTTTAGCTCTAGAGACTGGTATCCGCGATTATCTTCATCACTGACGCACATCCGGCAATGGAAATAAGGACTGCGGCCTCTCATTGCTCGTTTGAGCAGAGGTTCACTGATTTGTTTAACACTATTGACTTTATAAGGAAAAGGGTTCCTCTCATTGATTTTTCATTTCTAAATAAATGTTGGTAAAATGTTGCCACTTTGCAAGGACCAAATGACCGTTTTGAGGTAGATCTTGGATAAAATCCAATGGTGCTGGTAATAAATCTGAATTTGATTATGCCAGGTCATGTGATGTTGAAAGCATCATTATGCCCCGTGGTTTAATTTTTGTATATGCCAATGGAAAACAAAACGTAGATATATTGTATGAGAATCACCCACTTATTTGCATATATACATCAAAACATTGAGCTTTGAAAAAAATCGAAAAAATAACATGAAATTAGCTCGATTCTGAGATATGTAGGGATAGCAAGTAATTCTTTATAGGTAACTGTAGAGGTGATTAGTTTCATGGTGGTTGTGTTGAAAAATCGGCAGGAATTTATGTACTTATGCAATTTATACTTATTTCCGGTATTTATGTGTATTTATTGTTACTTGCTTAACTTTTCTCTACTTTGCACCCCTTATCTTTGCTTGTATTGTTTGTTGCAACTTTCTGACATGCCCCGACTGGACATGTGAAAACGACCTTCGCAGCTCATCGGATTCCTCCAGGATAAATAAAGATTCTGACTCTCACGTATTAAGTAATACAAATAAACATGTAGGATGTGAATAATTGTAAAAAGCTTGCATTTAAATAACAACTTTAAACGGTATATTGAATCCGTGAAAAGCATGTTGCTCAAGGTATGTTAAGAATTAACGTGTGTTTGGGAAGATGCAAAAAGTGATGCTAATGAAAAATGTATAGGTGGTGTCAAGATTCTTTTAAAATGGCCTTGAACATACAAAAACCCTGACAACTGAAACTCTGACAGCCGAGGGAAGATCTAGAAACAAACAGCACTTAGAATTAAGATGCATTGGTGATTCTTAGTGGTATTCTGCATAGTATATATTTATTGTGATGGTTTTGAGGTGGCAGAACAGTGATGGTGATGATGATGGTGGTTATTTTTTTGTTATTTCTATAAAATACATGGCTGCATTAAGTAACAGTGAAAAGCTCTCTGTGTTTGGAGGATAAGCAAGCATTTAAAAATGGCATGTCAATTACACACAAATTCTATCATGTATTAATTCAACAGTGCATAATACATTAATTATTTTTTTAAACTAAAATCAAATAGGATGCATGCATTGACCTCGGAGGTGTTACCTGCAAGCGCGGGTGCACATCCATCCACATTGCTCCTTCCTCTCCATTCCTCCCACGAGCAGAGTAGAAGTATGCTTGTTCGCATGACGTTTCGACGAGCAAGAGGCACCGTAATAATTCCCCTGGTCCCCCTTTGCCCTCCTCACCTGCTCATTTCTCTCTGCATCACTTGACACAGCTGAGCTTTGGCGGGCTCCCGTTTGGAGGCAAGCCAGGGAACAGGGCTCACCCCAACTTCCTTGGATGCATGGAGAACGTGTACTACAATGGCGAGGACGTCACGGACCTAGCGCGCCGTGCCAAGCCCCAGATTCACATCACTGTGAGCACCACACCTAGTTGTGAAGTTTACTTTTGCACGAGATCGAGATGCTTTTACTGTGCTGTGGTAGCACTGGGAACCAACAAGCTCTTTCAGGAGTACCCACACTGGAACAGACACATTGGTCACACAGCTCTGATATGGATGTCAGGGTTGTAATTGCCTATAATAGAGGTTTTTGGGTTAGATCGTATAAATATATAAATGTGAATTTATAACCCACCACCACCCAACACAGCCAACTAGTAAGGGTTGTCACGTAAACAGAACAAGACAATTTGTCACTAGTACAGCACACCGGTGTGTTGGAGAGCCAAGTCACAACTACAAATGTTCTGTTTACGTGACAACCCTTACTAGTTGGCTGTCGGGTGGTGGCGGGTTTTAACGACACATTTATATATTTACGCGATCTAACCCAAAAACCTCTATTATGGATGATATTGGTCGCGAAAAGCCTACGTGTTAAATTGTAATTGCCTGTTGTTTGGATTGTCTGTCATTTCACTCCATGTGCCGGGAGCTTCTTCGGCAAGAAACGCACTACAATCCAAAAACACATCGAAGAACTATGCTGCAAAACTGAAAAAAACTATTCAATCGTATTTGTCACTGATTTATTTAAATAATATAACACCTTTGTTCTGTTATTGTGCAGAGATGAAGATATTGCTGTTTTGGCTGATTCTCAATCAAGGTGCTCTTAATTGCCAAGGCTGTAAGTGCACAGGCACAAACCTCTCCTTACGGGTTCCAAGTGACCCAAGTCGACAGATTCTAAGTGAGCTTGTCCTAATATCTTACTACTTTTAGCCAAATCGGGCCTTCCCTCTTGGCCACATACAAGCCATGTCAACTAAACATATCGACGTTGTTCTCTTCCCAGCAACAGAAAAAATCTAATGAAATTTCACCTAAATTGTTATGATTTTACGTACTATATCATGTAATATTGATAAAATGTTAACAATTTTTTAAGCAAGCAACACATTTTTATATATGTCAAAATCTGACAATTTGGTTCCAAGTTAATACCACAGTGTTTCTTTAAAAGTAAAACATGATTCACTATTTACCCTCTTATTACCTAATGAACATTACTTTTTAGGTAAGTTATGCAATTGTAAGGACAGTATGGGGTGATAGAGGGACAGTACGGCTCCCCGGGACCATGGTTACTAATTACCGTAACGGGAACAGACAGGGTCATGTTAGGGTAATGTGGAACCTAAGAGATTGCTAATGATGTTTGAGGGGACGAGCATTGACAGAGTCACGTGAGAGGAAGCACGGGACCCAACGGCCATTAAGTGTAATAAGGGTAGAGATTGACAGGGCCAGGTACGGTGAACGAGAGTTCTGGAATAAGGGCATGGCTGGGTCGTGCAAGGGATAAGTGCCGGCGCGAACCGTACCTGGGGGCTGTTGTTGTGGGGAATCGTCATCACCGTCGTCGCCTTGGAATGGGTCGTCTGCATCATCCTAGAGTGGGCGCCGTGTAGTCATGAGGCTATAGTTACATTGTCTCAAAATAGAATCGTCTAAATTACCCAAGTGTTTATAGTCGCTCGTGGTTACTCGTCGTCAGTGGACTTTATTCATAATAAATATACGTAAGGAACAAGACGGTGTCCCTGAGAGCGGTGTTAGAAGTGGCTGTTGCAAAATGCCGAAGAAAGGAAAGAGTAATATAGAGTAAGAACCCACCTGTAGCATCTTCAGAGAAAGAGAAGGAAGATGACCAAGGAGTCCCCCCAGCAAACCCCGAGAGCCGGGATCCTGGTAACGAAGCCTGAGGGTGCAAAGAAAACGGCACCTGCGACGGAAGAGTGGGAAGACCTGGAGGTAGAGGCGGATCGACTCCGTTTAACCGTCACTGAGTTGGTGGCAACGAAGAGAGCAGGGATGAGCCGCAAAGTCACGCCGGAATGGTTGGGCGATCGCTTGCAGTCGGGGTTCCCACGCTGGAGACCACGTGGTCGGGGGCTGCCATTTCGCGGGAGGCGACGCGACCGACAGCCGCCATTTTGAAGCCTACGTGAGAGGCAGCAGAGGCAGTGTCAACTCGGGCGGCGAGGCGATGGGCCGCCGAGCAACCACGAAGGTTGCCCTTGATTAGAGAATTTACGGCGGCGGGGGGAGATTGGAGTGCCTTCACCTGCCAATTCGGAGCAGCGTATCAGTCTGTCGGCTGGACGAAGGAGGAGGCATTGAGAGCTTTACCTATGGCTCTTGACGATGATGGCCTCGCAGTGTTCTGGGCCATCCCTGAGGAGAAGAGGGCTATGCCACAAAATGACTACAAGGAGATGTCTGCATTATATGACCCGCCGTCGGGCCCGAGTGGTGCCTGCAAGCATGCAAAACCTTGCGAAGAAGGACTTGGGTGGCTGCATGGATCAGAAAATCTTGGCTTGGAGATGAGTGGGCTGGCCGACCATCAAAGATTGTCTTGGAGCCGTCACAGGAATAAACGGAGTCTACGGGGGAGGTGACGGCAGCGGATCGCGGAGGGGACCGGCGGCGAGGGGGGAAACTGGGATGGCTCTGGGAGTGGCGATCCCGGTCCGATTCGGCGCCTTCGCCGCGGGCTCCCAGGCTCGCCTGCTCTGCTGCGGGCAGCTTCGACACTTCGCACAGGGATGCCAAGAGTCGTAAGGACATCATGGACCCCCTTGTGTCCACTGCCTCGTCAACAGCTACGGCCCGGCCCAGACGAGTCGCGATGCACCAGACACCCGACCGCTAAAAACCACTTCACGCATCAGGGTCATTGGGGTTCGGAGAGGCCGAACTCGGGCATGCAGTAGCGAAAGCTGGCGGGCCGAGTAGTAGTAGCGGCGGCTGGTTCATCGGGAATAGTCGATGGTGTGTATGGTGTGGAGTTGTGTGTTAAGGGATGAGTGCCTTGGACTTGTGATTCTGGAATCGTATATTGTTACGAGGCCATTTTAATTGAGGGATCGTTGTGGTTCATTGTGGGGATTGCGTGTGTAGTGGCGAATGGGGAATTTGGGGTGTTGTAGCCTGTATCAGATTGAGGGGAGGTTGAGATATGGTGCCATTATTGGATTTGGGACGCTGGCTATGGCCTATCTCTGGGGCACGGATCCTGACCAGGATGCCCCTGCGATTGTTGAACGACCAGGGATGTGTTCAGATGCCATCGGGGCCACGAATGTTACGTGGATCCCCCCCAACGGCGAGCATTCGTTGGTTCAGGTTATATTCAAGGAATCTATAGAGATCCCACCTGACACGAGAGCAGTGGTCCCGTCGTGTTGCGGCAGACGACTTGACCTGACGGCCCGGAGGTTGAGACCCTCCGTGGCATGTCTGGAGTAGTAGGTTGTGGGCTCACATTGCTCGGGATTAGTGGTCCCGTCGTGTTGTGTCAGACGACTTGACCTGACAGCCCGGAGGTCGAGACCCTCAGTGGAACGTCTGGAGCAGTGGGTTGTGGGCTCACATTGCTCGGGGGTAATGGTCCCATTACGTTGTTGTGGACAGTTTGACCTGGCGGACAGGAGACGGGGGTCCTCCTTGGCCCATCTAGAGCGGAAGGGCCGTGGACTCACAGCGCTCGGGGTGCTAATGCTGTTCAGTGGAAATTGGGAACCGTTCCTGCAATCCTATTTGGGGATATGGAATTAGCAGTGGTTCAGGTGAAGAGGGTATTGCCTATGCGAGGTTAGCAGGGAGCGACGTATTCAGGCCAACCACTGAGACAGTGGTGTGAGGACACATGCTTATGAAGCGTGGAAGGGTGAGTTGTGTGAAGTGAAACCTAAGTTGTCCGGGGTGCATTGGCTTGAGTGCGATTCCTGTTGAGTGAAGGTTAGCTGTGGAAGTTCACCCCTATAGATGTTGGATGGGGTCCGGCCTCAGGAAGGGACTGACCTTCCTTTGCCAGTAAAACCTGTGGGTCATGCTAGATGATGTATTGAAAGTATGCGAGGCAGCTGAGGTGTAGTAAGGGATAGAGCATGGCTGAGTTTGGTTGGGAAGTGCCATAGCATTCATCCCTGAATTTGAACTTGCCAGAGAAATGGCCGGTGGATATCGTTTGAATTCCATGGCCACGGTGTGGGCAAGGGTGAGTGACATGGCGCCGTTGAGTTGTCCACAAGTCGCGCTTGGAGCCGTATGTTCATCCTCGACTTATTCAGCCCCAGTGATGTGCGGGCGTGGTCTGGGGTGGTGGACGGGCCGGGCCGGTTGGCCGGAGTAATTGGACACCGAGGGAAATATGTTGTTCCACCCCCAGTTACGAATCCATGGCGTCAGGAGTGCCCCGAAGACCTGAACCCCCCCCCCCCCCCCCCCCCCCGGGCTTGAGTTGCAAGTCCTCTTGGCCACAAATCTGCCTGGGGAGATGGACCGTCGTCAAGAACTGGACATTTGGGTGACGGATCGTCTTGAAATTGTGTTTTTGCGTTGTGTGTTGATGGGCGACCGCATGTTCGAAATATCCTATGCTTGTAGTAACGATCGTGGGGGTTGCGTTGCATGTGTTGTTCAGATTTTGGCGTTATTGCTTTGGTTGTGGTTGTCCGCACTGCTCTTCTGGGGAGTAAGTTGTTCCTTTTCCTGCTATTTGGTCCTTAAACATTGGTTATGTGTTGCATTGTGTTAAATGTATGGTTCGGCCTGAGATAGGTTGGTTTTAAATTGTGTTAGCCGGGATGGCTATATTTTTAAGAGGGGGGGGGGGGTGATGTAAGGACAGTACGGGGTGATAAAGGGACAATACGGCTCTCCGGGACCATGGTTGCTAATTAACGTAACGGGAACAGACAGGGTCATGTTAGGGTAATGTGGGACCTAAGAGATTGCTAATGATGATTGAGGGGACAAGCGTTGACAGGATAACGTGAGGGAAAGCACAGGACCCAACGGCCGTAAAGTGTAATAAGGGCAGAAACTGACAGGACCAGGTGCGGTGAGCGAGAGTTCGGGAATAGGGACGTGGTCGGGTCGTGCGAGGGATAAGAACCGGC